TGGCAACTGCACCCCCTCTATCCCCCTAAATTTGCTCCTGCCTCTGGAATGTACTTGAGAATAGCTAAAAGATGTGGTTCACTTTGTAACTATGACACACACCAATAAAAGTGACTGTCTCTTAAGTGAACAAGTAGAATGTTGCAGTGACATATGACACAAAGTGAGCTGTATATCAAAATGTGTACATGCACAACTTCCTACACATAACTATCAAAAAAGTACATGGCTAGAGAGGCGCCTTGCATTCATACTATTTTATACGGGCCTGTAAAATAACTATTAAACTGTTACATTTGGTAATGTCTAGATACAGAACACATCTCATAATTACATAAACTATAAACCTTTTTAACACAATAGACGCAAGCCATATATTCAAGTTAAATTATTGTCATGCTCCTAGGTAGCTCGGGGAGCACTGTCATTCTTCTGTGACTAGAAATAAAAGTTAATGTGTGACTCTTTTTTCCCAAATCTTAGAATAAAGTATAACTTAATTTATAATGAATATTTCAACTGCAACAGTTGTACATTCACACAAAAGTAGTAAATGCCAACATATTTTTTATATATGAGAGAGGTCATAAGCTGCTTTTTATGTCCACTGCGGACAGAACAACAGCAGTGGAGATTTAGGTGAGACATTAAAGGAAAACTTCCCAGCTGTAAGGACAGTTAAGCACTCGAATAAATCACTTGTTGTGGAATCTCCATCACATGAGGTTTTTAACAAAACAGGTTAGACATACATCAGTGAGAAAAAACATCTGTCAGACATAGCTGATCCTGTCTTCGGTTCAAGAAGACTAAATGACCTTTCGAAGTCCCTTCCATCTCTATTTTCTATGGCTTTATATTACATAATCACACATGTAATGGTGCTTTCCGTGGTAAATAATATTGTCACATTTTTATTCATTTGCTCAAAATCTCATAAATGATTTATTGGAGAAATACATGTTGTAGTAATCATAGACATATATGCTAGTGATCATCTGTGTAATAATATACATATATGCTAGTGAACAACTAGGTTGGCTCTGTAGAAGCATAGTAACCTTTTCACGCAGTTTATCCTCAACCCCTTTAATACAGTTTGTACTTTACTTTCTCTAGGTCATGGACAAACTCCTTCAGGAATAAGAATTCTTTCTTGGCGACTGAGGCTCTTATCTTTGCACCTTCACACTTGCTCCTCAAGTATCAGTGGGACTACTACAGAGATAAGGTGCTCATCAATGAGAAGAGCAACAGAATCTATATCACAAGGAATTAAAATTTGAAGAGTTCATGCTTTCTACTAATTTGCATGAAAAATTAAAATTGACATATTCTCTCATTAAAAATGTCATTCAGGTTCAAAGTATCCATCCATTTTAAGCAGCAGCAATGTATTTACATTGCAATGCATTAATGAAATGTCACACGTGGAGTTGTAATAACTGAAAGTGACTATCATTTTTTACTCAAATATTTCATACATAAGCATTCAGAGGTCCAGAAAATGCTAAATTACACACCTTAAAGTTCTTTTAATAGTTTTTGCTCTATAGTAGTGCCTTACTTGCTTTAAAAAATAAAATAACTGGAAACAGAGGTAAAACCAATAGAAAGAGCCAGAGTTTCCTGGGCTTTGAAGCTGTGCTAGTTTGTTTAGAGAAAGAAAGAAACAGAAGATCTGATGAAACTGAAATCAATAAAAGCTTTTCCACCAACATCAATATGTACTGGACTGTGCCCACAGTGTGTAAATTAAGTAATCTGTCTGACAAGATTTAGGTAAGCATTCCCAGAATGCTGCTAACATCCGTGATCAAAGGACCTGCTGATGTTTATAACTTCTCGTCTATTTAACTTTGTTAAATTCTGGTTAACCTGGCATAGGTATGTTCTGGCAAATGGAGCTTAGCTGGGTTTAAGAAAAACTTGGACCCATTCCCTTTTCCTTGGCTGCACTTCCTAGGCAGGCATTCCAAGTCCTGCCCAACAGCGAGTGGAATTCTCTAGTGGCCAGGTAACAAAATGTAGTGAAGCAAAACAGCTTCAACATACCAGAGTATCTGTCTCATTATATACATACATACATACATACATACATAATCATGACTGAAATACAATAACCCCTGGACAACTTGATAAACTGCCAACCAATACAAGGGACAAAATTCAACAGGGAGGCAGAGACGGGGGAGGGACAAATTCTGTATGGACACAGGGGAACACCTAGTCTTCTAAACTTCATCTTATGCTCATTTAATATCCACAGGCACAGAAGACATGCTGCTTTATCTGAAAAGTCCACAGAGTCAAATAGATGAAATTTGATTAGTTTTTCTTGAAGTTAAAGTTGTGAACTAGTCCTGTTTAGATTAGATTTGGAATGACAGCAGTTGTGAGCACACTGGCATTAGTAAATAACTCAAAAGCATGGTTACTGTACTGTTGTGAAAAGCCATCTACCTACCTACATTTGAATACCAACTTCTCTCTCTCCAGGAAGTAATATTATCAATTATGTCTCTACTGCAATCCTTTTCTCACACACACACACACACACACACACACACACACACACACACACACACACACACTCCAACACCCCGTGAAGGGTTTGTGCAAGGCAGCATGTCAAGCATAAAAGGAGAAATGCTTGCTCACTCCCATCATGGTGCAATGTCTCTCTATTTCTCCAGTCTACAGGAGAAGCAGGTGATAATCATCAATGCTTACATAGAACTGTATCAACATTCAGCATTAATCCCCAGAACCCCTGCTGAGGTAGGGAAATCTTAATATCTTCATGTTATAGATGGACAAAC